TAAATACTCACAAACAAAAATCAAATTTACTTTGTGGCCTGATCCACTCTGGACCCCAGGTTATTATTAGCAGTGATAATGCCACAAAATTTTTACTTATTTGTTCAGATTTATTTATTTATTTATGAGAGAGTGCATAAGGAGGAAGGGGCAGAGGGAGAGGGACAGAGAAACTTTAGCAGGCTCCATGCCCAGTGTGGAGCCATACCCAGGTGCCCCATCAGAAAACTTTTATATGGCTCTTATGTATAACGCAACACAATTTCAGATGTTCCTTGGTTAAATCTTTACACTTGCTAAACTAGTATAACATATACAGTACTGACTTTAATGAGAGTATAATATGTTCCTTCAAATAGCTCTTGAAGAATTCCTTCTACACTTATGAAAAGCCTAACCACACTCCATTAAATCTGCACTGATCCCCCAGCAGAACTACTTAATTTATGGAAGAAAAGACTTAACTTTTCACTCAAATGAATTTTATAATAAATGATTATTTGTATGTTTCTAAATTCTTTACTGGATACATGGATCAATGGAACTAAAATAATAATGTTTCACATCAAGACATTTTATAAATGTCATTTTATAAAGGTTTCTCATGGATATGAAAAGAAACAGGAAACATAAAACCCTTGTTTCAAATTTCTTTAACTTATTCTGCAATTTCTAAGTTTCTTTAGAATCCCTTTTAAGATTTGGCAGAGTCTGCTACCTGAGTTGCTTTTTAGACACTTCTAAATTAATCAAATGCTACAATGAATTCCTTAATCTGGTTTTCCCAAGGAATCTCAGAGGAAAGGTCTAGAAAAGAACAGAAGGTAACCTATAACCTGTAATTCTTTCTTTTCCCTTCTCCCTCAACCTCTAATATAGCATTATACTTCTAAAACTCTAATTATTAAAGAAAAACTAATATGGATTAGTTCTCTGAGATTTATGTCCCTATTTGGGATAAAATCAGCAACCAATCACAAACAGAATTCTAAAATTTGAGATTTTAAAGTCTATAAACTTGGAGAAGTTATGAATTACAGATCAATTCTCAAATTATTCTTCAGGCCATTAATTCAGCAGCCTTCTGAACAATCATCCATTAATACTTATCTTCCCTGCTTCAGAAATGACTTCATTAAAGCATAAAGATCAGAAGTGTTTACCGTGTTGAACTTTATTTGGCAATCAGTACCACTGTGACACCTTTTCACCTGTCTTTCCCCAGTGGAGATCAAGCTATTTCAAATACGGAATTGTTTTCAATTCCTCAGGAACAGGAATAGAGTGAAATAAGAGAGGCATCCAGGGCACAAAATTTAATGAAACACTGACTCATCAAGCCCATATTTACATGACCCTGAAAGTGCCATTTAAATTCTGTGCCCTAGATGTCTTGCTCATCATCCCCTGGCCCTAGCTCTGCTATAATTTCAGTACATTTGGAAAACCTACCTTTTATCTCTCTAATTTCATAAGTAAAATAGTATTTTTAGGAGTGGTAAATTTTATATTTTGATTTAAAAGGACTTAAGAAAGCTTTTAATTCTACATGCATAATACTTCATTAATCACAATCAGTAAGAACACCAAAATGACTATCCTGGTGTGTATACGTGGTGTTCGAGGACACGAGGGAAGACACCAATTCTCATTTGCTGATTAACAGAGAAAGTAAACTGTTCAAATTAACTCTAAGCCTTACATGGAATTTTGTACATTTAAAGAACTCCAACTATTAAAACAACAATTGCATAAGCAAAAGAACCATTATTCCAAAATCTGGAAGGATAAAAAACATTTCCTGGCTGAATTAATTTAAGTAAACAATCTCATCTGCCCAAAGGTTTTTCCCTCTTCTCTTTTTAAATCCTCAACCCAAAAGGAAAAACAAAACAGAATTCTAAATCAAACTTAAAACACTGATTTGAGGATGAGAATACTTCTAAAATGCAAAGGTAAGTAAATAAAAATCTTAGAATTTTAACTTCTGAAGTAAAAGTACCAATTAAAACATCTCTTTCAATCTCGCTTATTGTTATTCTTACCAGATAAAGGAGGAAGGTGTGCAGCCCTGTTCCAAGCCCAACAGAAGACAAAATTCCTAAGCCTATCCAGTAGGCATACAAAAGAAATTGTTTCTCTATACGTTGCACATACTGAAAAACAAAAAGGATACAGTGAAAAAAAAAAAACCCAACAGATTTGTTTAACAAAAATGTTATTTATCACCTACAATCAAAATAAAACAAACCAACTAAAATAAGTTTCTAGTAGGAAGAAAGCATTAAGAGTAAAAACCCTTTCAAGAGACCTAATTCTTTTTATATGTGATGGCAGAGAGGCAAAAAATTAATCTAATTGTAATAAAGCTCTTGTGTTTAGACCTTTAAAGTCCTACTATTGCAAATTTATAGGAAAAACGCAAACTACTAATAAGATACCTATGAGAATAAAAGTTTTAAAGATATCTGAAAGTTACAAAGACTCTAAGAAAGCATTGTAATAAATAGTGGTGAGAGTGGGGCACTTATTTATATATTTGTGAATGGAATATATTTTTGTTTATTCAAGTAAAAAATGGAATAAAATTATTTTTGTATGTTTAAGACCAAAACGCTTTTTAAACAAGAGCAAGCTGAATGAAGTCCACTGAGGTATGGACTTGTTGGAGGCATTCCAGACACTAGATTCTAGGCTCTCACACTGGCAAGTAAATTCATCAAACCAGTTCCTTACAAACTCTTAATGACACACACAGATTTCTTCAAAATATTTAAAAGAAATGCATTTAAAACTATAAAAACTTCTCTGCGACTAGAGGTTAACTGCTTTAAAAAATAAAACAATACCACTTTTAGAACCATTTCCTATTAGAATACATTAATGTTTTACTATTTTAACAAAAGTTATTAACAAAATGTCCTATTTTCCTTTCAGTTATGTTGTACTTACAGACTACAGGCAAATGAACTTCTCCCTTTTTTTTTTTTTTTTAAAGATTTTATTTATTTATTCATGAGAGACAGAGAGAGAGAGAGAAACAGGCTCCCAAGGAGCAGGGAGCCCGGTGCGGCACTCGATCCCAGGACTCCGGGATCATGACCTGAGCCGAAGGCAGACGCTTAACCGTCTGAGCCACCCAGGCGCCCCAACTTCTCCCTTTTTATACATATAAAACCTAACCTTCAATCTAGGATGAATATTATCTGTTTGGATGGATCACAGGAGAGTGTTATAGAAAATATGAAGACTTTGGTGCTGATTAAAGGATTCATGCTATTCTGACTAAACACCATCAGGAAAGTTACATTTGAATCCTTGAAAATAAAAATGATATATGCCAAATATAAATGCTCAGCAGCCATGAACTGCCACAAGAATATTTTTAATATTTGGTCTTAAAAGAAAGACAGTAAGATATCAGTTATGAGATAAAGTTAAAAAACAAAACCAAATCTAAAAATGTGGAGGGTAGAAATTTTATCAAACCCACAATAGTTCCATTTTGAAACTGTTTGGGAGGTACGAGGTACAAGAACAGAAAAGCTGCTGAACCTCTTACCTGTTGATGTGCTCCTTCAACATAATACGTAGCTATAAGTACAGCAAGCAGCAGTAAAAAAGACACCACAATGCTTTGACGATGCCATAATCTTAAAAACAATTTAAAAACAAAAATAAATGAAATATCTCACAGGATTTATCACTCCCAAAACAAGTTCTTGTTGAAGCATTTGGGTTATTTAGCATAGCTATAGAATCAGTTCTTTTGGGCTGAACTCTTCTGTTCTTAAACACGATGGTCTCTTGGGGTATAGAAGGAGGTCAAGAGAAGATACATGGGTATAGAACATCCAATTTCTTATCATAAACCCTACTGTAGCCTTTCTCTTACCCAAAAGACTGATTTTGTTTACATCCCAACTTCTCACTGGGAGAGGCATTATAATATAATGAAAAAAGCACTGGCCTTCAAGTTAGAGGACCTGGGTCAGAGTCCCTAAGTATTGACTTAGAGTGAGACACTTAACCAATCTGATTCTGTTTCTTCTTTTTAAAATCATAATACAGTTGACCACAACATGGGTCAGAACTGCGCAGGACTAAATGTGGATTTTTTTACAGTATAGTACTGTAAATGTATTTTCTCTTCCTTATGATTTTCTTAATATTTTCTTCTCCCTAGCTTACTATATTATAAGAATATAGTACATAATATATATACAAAGCTTCTGGTCAAAAGTAGGCTATTAGTAGTTACGTTTTTGAGGAGTCAAAAGTTATACATAGATTTTTCAACTGTGTGGGGGTTGGCACCCCCAACCCCCATGTTGTTCAAGGGTCAACTATAATCATATATTTGTTTTACTAGTTTCAAAGAGTTGCTTTAAGGATCAAATGAACTGAAAAATGTTACAAAATGTTTTATAAACTGTAAGTACAATAAAACCGTATGCTATTATTAAAGATAATAACTTAGAAAGGCAAGCCCAAAATGATAAGGCATGCAAAAGTTCAACTTGCTCTTTATGGTATCTGAAACAGGGCTTATAAGTACTAAACTTAAAGATAGAACCCATTTCCATGGCAGAGTCCTTTTTCATTGGCTCAAATTATCAGTAAAAGTGCCACGTATTCTGAACCCTGTCCTACTAAAGAATCAGTATCTAATGTACATAGGCCCAATTTCCCCTAGAGGTAAAGCCAGAAAAAAAAAAAAAAAAATCTCATCTCCTATGTTCTCCTTTGCATAAAAGATTCAATGTGAGACAGGGGTCAACTGTAATAATCCAGTTAGCAAATAGCAGTATGTTCCCCTAATCTATTTTTCTCCAAACTACAGAAAGGAAAATAAACATGTTTAATTAATTCATTTTGAAAGAGCAGTTGGTAGAGTAGAATGTTAAAGATTTCTAAAATTAGTAAATAAGGTAATGGAAGACTCTTTACTTTGAGGTCCATTCCTTCAAGATTACTAGGATTTCCAGAGAAAAATACTGCAAGGTAATGAGTGGCTGTCTCCACAGGACAATATTCTGCCTTTCTTCCCGATCCCTCCTCTTCTTTTCATTCATTGAAGAGGGGTCTGAAAAACATTAGCGCAGAAATTTAAACAGAATGTCCACTTTTTCCAATCACTTTCAAAATTTATCTACTTTTCCATCCCACATTTGAAGGATACTTGCATATTAACCTCAAAAAACAAGAAATGTGTTCACATGATAAGTCTTAGACAGGCTAGGTGATTCTGCTCTACTCTGAGAACTATTTTTGCAATTATTTTACTGTCAGGACACAAGTTTCCTTTCTTGTATGCTACTGGGATACTAAGTTAGCCCACCTTCTATGAAGGGCAATTAGTATCATATCACAGAACAAAGTGGTTTACAGTTCAAAATAGGAAGGCAAACTGTTTGGTTCCAAATCCTGGCTACAAGTCATGTGACCTTGGGCAAGTTAGTTAACCTTTCTCTGTCTCAGTTTTCCCTTCTCCAAAATGAAGATGAAAATAGTACTTACTTTTTTAGGGTCACTGCAAAGATTAAATGAGTTAATGTATGTAAAGCTTTCAGAAGAGTGACAATAAGTGTGTAAGTGTACAATTAAGGTCATTATCAAAATTACAAATGCATATACCCTATAACCCAATAATCCCATTTCTAAGAATGATTAGGTATGAGGTGAAATGTCTCTTGTACAAGTTTATTCAACACAATGTTACTTGTCTAAGCAAAAGATTATAAACAACTTAAATGTTAACAGCAGAAGACAGAGGAGTGATTAAAGTATGGTATACTCATACAATGGGATACTAAGCAGCCATAAT